TCATAATTTAGAATGTTTCTTGAGCCTCTAGTAATAATGATACATGTGGTATCAGTAAAATGGGATACTGTAAATGAAAAAATTACAGTAAAATTACAGAAAAATATTACAAATCTGTTCCATATATTTCTCTGTTCCTATTTGATTCTGATGTGTAAGAGATGAAGAAAACAATGCAATACATAAACTTGCTTGAATGAAGGGAGAAATGTAATGAAACTGATGTTATTCCACATTTGGTAGCTGTGGACTGGCTGCCAGAGGACTTTCTATAGAAATTAAGAATTTTGCCCCAAAGCTGATAAGCAGGTTATGAATTTGGTTAAATCTACAGAAATTATTGGTACAAATGATCTGTTTGGGGTCTTCCACTAGTAGCTTTGTTACTTGTCAACCAAAGGATTTAGTAGCAAAGGGCCAAGGAAGAGGTGATGGCATCTCCCATTACTCTTTCACTATGTGCATATTTGCAGAAAGTATTAGGTAAGTATACCACAAAATGGAAAGCATATAAGTAGGGGTGAGTGGGAGTGGTGGAGGAGGTATCTACAGCATGAAGACATCCAGCGGGATAAACAATCATTCAAAACTCTCGCCTATGCTCAGGTTACTTGCTCACAGGCATTTTCAAACTGTTTCCAATTTTTCAAAACACACTTGATTTCATGATGTATCTGATGTGTTCTTTCAAGACATGTGTCAGTTCAGACACAGAGGTTCAGACACAGGGGTATATCTGCGCCATAAAGCAAAAATTCCTACTACCTGTGACATTGTGCAGTCCTGTGCCGAACATAGTAAACATTGCTTTTTTAGGTGGAAACTAGACTCAGTAGGAACTTTCTTTGACTACATGAAGTGTATTAAGATAGGCTGTTCTGTCAAAGCCAAAATATGTAGGCTTCAAAAGAAAGAGTTAAGAGATGTGCACATGCCATAGCCAGGTGTTCTGAGTCAGCAGAGCAGGAACTTGAACTTAAGACCCTCCTATCTCAGGACAGAAGCCTAACAAGCAGGATGTGGGGATTCTCTGTCCAGCTTTCTCTCTCACTGAGAAAGTGGGGAGTCTTGTGACTGGGAAGCTGGTGTTGAGTTTTTAACATTGATGGAATAGGTATCAGACCATTTGGAGGGGACACTTTCTGTGAGGTAAACTTTGTAGCTCATGTTTTAATGATTTGTTTTCCTACTTTGCAAAAAGTGGCTTGAATGTGGTGTGTGGTATGCTTTTTCTTCCTATGGCAAGAAAGCAGGCGTGCAGAGAAATGCACTCTTCCCTCCACGTAGGGTTTTGATGACCACACAGGTGCGCTGTATGCTGATGTATATTTGATCTGTCTTAGAAAGTTTTACTAGAAGGAAATGTTGCAGTAACATTGCTGCTGTCCATGGCAGTAAAGGTGTCACTTGCGTTGCCTCCCACAGCCACAAATGTACACATGCTTCCTTCCAGCAATCAGTGGACCTCTGCCAAGTAGGGTATGGTGAATAGTCCATGATCTTTAGGAAAAAATCACTGGCAATCTTTCAGCCCCAGCAGCATACCAGTATTCACATTCACATGGCCATTTTTGTGAAGTAAAGGAGTAGAAACTCTATCTTAAGCTAAAGGTGGCACTGACATTTTAACTTTCTGAAAGTCTTGGTGCTTGCACCTGTCAATTTTGTGAGCCCCTAATATACTCCAATACTTATATTATGCCACTACTGTTTGCTGGAAGGAAGAAGGTTTGTGTGATCCATGAAACCCTCTTTTAAACAGCATATCTACAATTTCTTGGTCAGGTCATACATGCTAGAACCTGATTAGTTCTCATGGATTTCTTCTTTTACTGAGTGCCCCTTATTGTCAGTGATTCTTCCTAAAGATCAGACTATTCACCAGACCCCAGCTATTTGGGTAATATCTTTTTTTGGACCAACCTGTCAGTCCTCTATAAATAATAAGGACTCTCTTCTCTGGGGAGAGGGGGAAGCAGCGGGGGAGGGGGAGCAGCCCCTCTGGCAGCCTGCAAGGGAAAAGCCAGGATTTCCCACATTTTTCTCCTTGCAATGAGAATCCACTTTTAAAGTCTGTTCACCACCCTTTCCTATATTCCCGCGACCCACTTTTGGGTGGTGACCCACGGGTTGAGAAATGCTGTCCTAGGGGGTTGCCTCCTGAGACCTTCCCTTGCCAGACCTCTACCCCCAGCATGTGTGAATCCAGGGTTGCCAACTCTCATGATTTTTGGTATGAAGTCTACACTTCAGGAATATGAGAAGTGTAGCTCTTTCATAGATTTCATAGACATTAGGGCTGGAAGGGACCTCTGAAGATCAACTCCAGCCCCCTGCCCCAGAGGCAGGAAGTCAGCTACGTTCAAAGGAGATAAGCATCCAAATGCTTCTTAAAGGAGTCTGGAGTAGGTGCTTGCCCCACCTCTGCAGGGAGCCTATTCCAGGCTTTGGGGACTTGGACAGTAAAGATGTTTTTCCTTATATCCAGCCTAAAACGGTCTTGGAGGAGTTTGTGACTGTTGGACCTTGTCATCCCTTGGGGCGCTCTGGTGAACAGATGTTCTCCCCGATCCTGATGTACACCTCTTATGTACTTATAGGCAGCCACCAGGTCCCCCCTGAACCTGCGGTTTTCCAGACTGAAGAGTCCCATGGCTCTCAGCCTCTCTTCATAAGGCCTATTCTCTTGCTCTCTGATCATGTGCATGACTCTCCTCTGGACTCTCTCAAGCTTCTCCATGTTCTTCCTGAATTGTGGAGCCCAGAATTCTTCCTAAAGATCACAGACTATTCACCAGACCCCAGCTATTTGGGTAATATCTTTTTTTGGACCAACCTGGCAAACCTCTATAGATAATAAGGATGCTCTTCTCTGGGGGGAGGAGTGTTTGGGGTCGGTGGGGGGGAGGGAAGCAGCCTCTCTGGCAGCCTGCAAGGGAAAAGCCAGGATTTCCAGCAGTACTCCAGCTGCGGCCTCACGAAGGCCGAGTACAGCGGGAGGATGATGTCCTGAGCTCTGCTTGAGAAGCATCTATGCATGCAAGCTAGAATTTTGTTCGCTTGACCAGCTGCGACATCGCATTGGGGGCTCATGTTCGTCTTGTGGTCAGTCATGACCCCAAGACCCTTTCGGCCGTGGTGCTAGCGGACATAGCGCTACTGAACCTATAAGCGTGCCGCGGGGCTCCTCCCGCCCAAGGTGGAGCACCTTACACTGAATGCCCGCAGGTTTTTATCTGCCCACTTTCTAAGCCTGCCCAGCTCAGCCTCTCCTCAGGGGCAGAGGCTCTACCCCAAAGTTTGGTGTCGTCGGGGAACTTGGCCAGTCCGCTTCTGTGCCCAGTGTGCACACCGCCAATCCTTTCTTTTATATATGGATAGAAATAGAGATAAAAGAAAGAGCTACGTTGTTGGGTTTTTTCCACATTCCCGAAGCGGGGACTTGAAGAACAGCGTCCAAAGTCATGAGAGCTGGCGACCCTGCGAGCTCCTCCCGGGCGGCTGCAGCCTGGCCTGGCCCCGCTGCCCGCCCACAGCCCGGGCGGGGGCGGCGGCGGCTGAGGGAAGCCGGGCCCGGAGGCGGC